GGGGGGGGTGCGAGCTTCTCACCGGCGGTATTCTGTATCGCATTGAGGTTCTTGGCAACGGCAAGGCCGAGGGAAAGGGGATCGGAGTCATGGGCCTCGAGATGGTCAATGGCTGGGGATATTCGGACGCCCACTCTGCCCGGCCCAACGGCAGAGGTCACGGATCGGACAAGTTCGACGAGGAACCGGATACGGTTCTGTAGCGGACCGCCGTAACGGTCGGACCGGTCGTTGATGCCGTCTTTGAGAAACTGGTCTATCAGGTAACCGTGGGCCCCGTGAATCTCCACGCCGTCGAAACCTGCACGTAGAGTTCAAAAACTGAGATGCCCGCGAAAAAAATGACATACCGCCCAATTCAAATGCATTTACATATCTAACACCTACAATTTATTTTTTTATATTTATACCCCTCAAATCTTTCGTATCACATCACATCAAAAAAATCACACCTTTTTTTTTTAATGCACATTTCCATAAGAAAAAAATATTAATTTTTAAATTAAATTATAAGTCTTTTACAGGACTATTTAAACACAACTAAAAGAATTTTAAAGTAATTTGGCATTTCTAAACCCAATTTAAATAATCGGGAACTATTTTGATATTTTACTCCATAATTTTATAGCACCGAAGTGTTATAAATATAATTATCAAAAATGATATGTTCAACATGTAAGTCCATAAGAATTGTGAGGTAGATATGTACACAAATCGTTAAAATCTAATATAAAAATATAATAATAATAAAACTAAATAACTAATTAATTCAAGCTAAAATGATCAGAATATGGTCGATTAAAAATTTATTCGTGTTTGGTTGATTTATAAATCGAGCTCAATAAAATTATTCGTGCTTAACTTGTTAGTTTAACAAATGAATCAAACACAAACTACTAACTCAAGCTGTTCGCTAACCCTCATCTTGGTGCATTATACCGAGTGTATGATCAACTCTATCTCAACTTAATGCCACATCCCAAAAGAGCTCTTAGGAGTGGTGGGCAGCCCAGGTCTTAAATAATGGTTTTCGGCCCTACATCTAGCCAATGTGGGACTTTTTGTCTGTGAAATTTTCTTCCACCCAATCACGCGACGCCCTCGTCACGGATCAACTCCACCGAGAATCCCACTGGACCATGGGGAATCCACACACCTGGCAGACAGTAATCTGCTCTGATACCACTTGTCACATCACTTGTCACATCCCAAAAGAGCTTAAAAGAGCTTTTAGGGGTGGTGGGCAGCCCATGACTTAAATACTGATTTTCAGCCCTACACCTAGTAGTTGTAGGAATTTTTGTCCGTGATAGTAAAGTTCAACAAAACGAGTTGCTCGAGTCGAGCTTAATATGCCAATTAGTACAATATAATCATAATAAAATAAAAGTTCATGGTTCACGGATACAATTATTTAAAAATAGGGGCATTTACATACATGCCACCCGATTCCTAAGTATTTACATAAAACACCTAAACTTTCTTTTTAACATCTATCCTAAGTATTTACATAAAACACCTAAACTTTCTTTTCAACATCTATAAAAAAAAAAAATGCCACCATTTTAACTTTTAGAACTGGCATACACCTTTTAAAGCATTGGCAAGGTGGTATGTATATAAAAATTGAAGTTTAGGTGTAAGATATGTAAATAAATAAGAACTGATGGTATGCATGTAAATCTTCCTTAAGAAAATTTAAGAAAAAAAAAAGATGACTCCTTTTCAAATATCAAATGTTTTCTTTATCATTCCTCTTATAAATTTTTATTAATTTTTCAATTTAGTACTTTCATTAGAATCATTTTTTCCCCTTTTTTATTACACATTTCTATTAAAACGATGATTTTGGTGACAAATAATATTAATTTCAAAACATAAATACTCTGACCTGCTTTTATTGCATTGATGGCCGCTTGCCTGTACTGCTCCACAATTTTTGGTATCTCAGAAGCAGCAAGAGGGCGAGGCCTCGGGTAGGTACCATATTTCCCGTCAGGCATCAATATCCTCCACCTCCCAGAGATCGGTTTATCCGTAGAAGAAAGTGGAGCAGAATCATCACTGGGTTGGTATACTGTAGCATCAAATTGAATCAAACATCCAAATGTCATAAGCGTTTGGAAGATTTACATATCTAAGAGCAAAACTTAAATTTTACATATATGCTGCCTTATCTATACATGATTTTTTTCCACAAAGTCCAATTATATGATAGCAGAAAATGATTTTACCTTGGTGAGAAGCTCTTCCAACATGCCACAATTGGCAGAAAATAATGCTTCCTTTGGCATGCACAGCATCAACAACCTTCTTCCACGCATCTATTTGCACTGGATTGTATATTCCAGGGCAATGTGGAAACCTACGAACAAAAAAAGCTATTAAAATACAAATCATAATTGATAGTATGAAAAGAATTGTATCATACTAATGTTATAATAGAGATTTGAACAATAAGGAAATATTAAAGAAAAATATATGCTTGAATTGTGCTCTAACTCAAAGCACATTAGTTGAAAATAGAAGGAAAACTCACAGTGGTCGATAAAAAAAAACTTTAATTTTTGTAATGAGGGGCACAATGACATGCACTTTCTTTAAAGAATATTGTCTCCAGTGCAGAGGATCTTTTAATAAACTGCAAACTAAATGAGTGCCAAAAATATTATGTGACAAAGCGGACTCATAATGCCAAACACCTAAGCAATGTGCTGTGATTTTTTATGTTAATAATGATATGTAGAGTATAATCAGCTAAATAAAAAAGTAAAGGTTTATTGAACCACATATAGATTATTGTAATAGATCTAATAACTCATATAATTAAGTTTTAAAAATGATGAAATAGAATGAGTGTTAAAATTACCCTCCAGCCTTGGGTGAAACCAAGGTTCCCTCGGTAATTAACAAGCCACCGTCAGTGGCTCTTTGGGCATAATATTCAATGTGAGCAGGCTGCGGAACTCCGTTTAGAGCACGACATCTCGTCATTGGCGCCAGAACTACCCTGAAAACATAAGCAAAGACATAAATGTATATGAGGATAGAAGCAGTAGCCCATATATTTAATAAAAGTGATCGAGCACAGTATATAATTTTTTTAATAAATAGCTTAAGTTTCAAATAATCAATTAATTAAATGCATTTTAGAGAAAAAATCCTTGAATTTTGCCACCTGAAGAATCCTAGCAGGTCAATCCCGCACGGACAAGTCAGTTAGCCTGTTAGAGTGAAGCTCACAAAAATTTGAGTAGAAGTATTTTCATTGTAGAGAGTTAAACTTATTTTAATGCCCAATAGTTTAATCCATTAAGCAAAGCCATATGATGGATATACATGTAGTAAAGAATGAAAGATTGGAATTGTTTTGATAAGTGAATAATGTGTGGTGTGGATGAATTATTAAAGTATATAAATAACACTCTCCCCTTAAGGTCTATGAATCAAATGCGAAGCAAGGTTTTTTTTTGAGAGAGAGAGAGAGAGAGAGAGAGAGAGAGAGAGAGAGAGAGAGACAATGCTTCTAATAAAAGTTTGTCCTGTGAATTTGCGACTTGTAAATCTAAGTTTATAAAAATTTGATTGTGTGATAATTTTTTTAACCAACTAGCATCAAAGTGTTATAAAATTTGCTCTAAAATTAATATTAAAGAGCTCAACTAGACAAATGAACACTTTAAAGCATTAGCCTTAGACATGCCGTGTGCTGCCTACAGTATGAAAAGTGGGTCAACTCAACAAGTTCGACCAAGTCAGACTGAGGCAAGGCATTGATTTAGCTAAGTAGTTGACTGCGCTTTGCGAAATCATTGATCACAAAGTCAGCAAGATTCCTAGAGCCATTGACCAGAGACTATAACCTCAACAGAAAAAATTAGTTTAAAGAAATAAAAAAGGGAAACAATAAAACTCTTTCCTCACCTATTAGGCATTAAATGATGATGGTTTTATGAAGATTTCAAGTGCTACATCCATTAAGCAAGCACATAAAAGCTCCAAATCTCTTAACAAGGAAGAATAAAAAGCTTAGAATATGTGACTTAAAATTTTAAGGGGAGAGTTTGATTCATTGCATATGAAAAACGTCAAGTAAATTCAAACTACTCTACAACATTAGCTATTTTTACTCAACTTAAAAGAAATGGAGATAAGATAGCAGATGTGAATATTATGTAGATATCCACATTCTTGAAAAACTCCACAAGACGAATGCCCAACAAATGAAGAAAGGTAAGAGCTTTATGGTAGTAAAAGCCAATGTGAAAGAGGTCATGGGCATAGTTGAGGACCCAACAAATATAAATATTCAAATAAAAATGACAAAGAATATAACCACCACAACAACAAGCCTTTATCCCACTAAGTGGGGTAGGCTACATGAATCTTTTTTCTCCATTGTGTCCTATTGAGTGTCATTTTCATTTAATTATAATAGATCAAGATCATTTTTTATATTAAATACCCAAGTCTTTTTAGATCTACCTTTGCCATTATTATTAACATTAGTCAAATTAAAAACATATACTCTCCTAACTGGATCATCAGATGGTCGACATTTAATGTGACCAAACCATCTAAGACGACTCTAATTTTGTCCGCCACTAGAGCTACACCAACCCTATCACAGATATTTCATTTCACATTTTTGTCTCCGCCACTCATCCACCTAAGCATTCTCATCTCGACAATACTTAGTTTTATACTTCTCTTTCAAAGGCCAACATTCAGAGGCATAGAACATTGTAGATCTCGCCACCATCTTATAAAATTTCCATTTTATAAAATTTTCCTTTCAATCTAAGCAGTGTACCATCTTATAAAATTTTCCTTTCAATCTAAGCAGTGTTTTTCTATCACACAATAGGCACGATACATTACTCCACTTCAACCAACCAACTTAACTTCTACTATTAACATCCCTATCTATAACATCATTACTTTGAATAATAGACCTGAAATATCTAAAGCATCCACACATTTTAATAACTTGATTACCCACAGTTAGAACTCTATCAGTAGAGCTATTACTATTTAAATTACATTCCATATATTCAGTCTTAGTTCTACTCAAACGAAGGCCTTTAAACTCCAATGCAGACATCCATAATTTAAGTTATTTTTGAGTTTTTTTTTTGGTCTTATCCACAAGAAGGATATCACCAACAAGCATACACTAAGGTACGTCCTCCTGTAAATGTCCAGTAAGAGCATCCATAACTATAGCAAAAAGATATGGGCTTAAAACTGATCTCTGATGTAATCCAATTGAAATAGGAAAATATTTGGTCAATCCTCCTGTTCGAACACAAGTAACAACTCTAGTATACATATCTTTAATGACTTGAATACAAGTCATGTCAACATCTTTTTCCTCTAGAAATCCCAAAAGTATATCTCTTGGAACCTTATCGTAAGCTTTTTCTAAAGCAATAAAAACCATATGTAGATCCTCCTTATTGTCTTTGTACTTTTCCATCAAACCTCTCAAAAAATATATAAGTTCCATAGTAGAACTGTCAAGCATAAATCCAAACTGATTATGAGAAATCTTTATAATACGACTTTACTTATATTCAATTATTCTCTCTCATAATTTTAAAGTATGACATGTCAACTTAATTCCTCTATAATTTGCACACTCTTGTGCATCCTCTTTTTTCTAAAAAAAGGGGACCAAAATACTCTTTCTCCACTCAAGCATTTTTTTTTAATAATATTATTTTTTTTTAATAATATTAAAGAATTTTAATAATATTAAAGAATTTAGTAAGCCAAGAAACACTCAAATCTCCTAAATATTTCCACACTTCAATTGAGATATCAGCAAATCCTATAGAATTTCCACGATTGGTTTTCTTTAAAGCCTTTTCAATTTTTTTTTTACTAATGCGACGGTAAAAATGAAACATTTTAATATTATTAACGATATTAAAATCATTGAGGTCGATCATATTTTCAGAAAATTATTGAAAAGTTTATCAAAATAATTCACCCACCCATGTTGAATATTTTTTTCTAATAAAAACACTTTTTTATTTTCATCTTTAGCACACTTTACCTGAGTTAAATATTTACTTTTCTTTTCTCTTTGTTTGACTAGTTTATATATTTTTCACCATCTTTGTTTGACAAGTTTTATATTCTAAGATCACTAATTAGATTATATTTTATTTTATAAATTCAAATATTTTATAATTATATTTTATTATATTATTTTGAATTTATAAAATATAGTTATAAATATAATAATAAAATGAAATAAATTAATAAAGTTGATTTAAATAATTTATTCAATGAACTATTAAAAATAAAATAAAAATAAAAAATAACTAATTGAAGGAAAATAAGGAATTATTTTTGTCAGACAGTACTTAAATTAATCAAATATTAAAAATAACTTACTTTCGACTAAATTTGAACATTGAAAGCAACAAGTTTCAAACATCAAATTTTTGAAATTAAATTCAAACTTTATTGAAAAATTAATTGATAGTACAATAACTAGAAAAATATGGGAAAATCTATTTTTTTCGTCGTGATTGAAGAACTCCTGATCCTGGAGTGCATCTTGGTGACGCTCGAATTGGTAGCTCTCGTAGTTAATCCTCCTCAACATCCTCTTGTATCTGATCATCAGTTGATGTAGATGGAGTCTCCTGTTGAATGTGGAATGGTGGTCCGCCGCAATTAGGATCCAAGTGAAATTGCATATTTTTAAGTCTCCACCCTCTAAAATTGACTTAGTGTAGAGCTTATAATGGACACTCATATGATTTTGAAGGTCCTAAATATGTTGAGGGTCCTGCATATGTTGAGGGTCCATCATAGGCAAAAGATCTTCTCAAAGTATCTACAATCCATCCTCTTGAGAAGTTCACTGGTGACCACCGTGAGATATCCGAAGTAGATCTTCGAGAAGTGTGTTCCCGTGGTTGGTCGAACTCACTATAATTAATATAGTGTGATTTATCAACTCTGTTGGAAAGCTCAACAAGTTCATCGTAACCTTCTTACATTGACATAACATCTTTACCATGACCACCAGCAAATCTACTAGTAAGACCCTTTGAACGGATGTAATAGCCAACATGCATAAATTCATAATTTATTAAATCAAGAAAATATATAAAAAACAACAAGTATTAAATTATTATAAAATATTTACTCACCATCAATCTCTTGGTTCAATAAGGTAGATCGACGCCCATGATTTAGAACACTGCAAGTAATGCGACAGTTCTACAATTCCATCACCTGAAGGTGGGTTTAATGTTCCATCACCTGAAGGTGGGTTTAATGGAACGATGAAGGCCCGATGGTTTTGCCACAAATCAACAAAAATTTGATGGTAATTTAGTCAATCCCTGCCAAGTTTTCCTCGTCCATCGACCCGTGGAAATGATCGATATATTGACCGAATTATTGTGGATTGTACAAAAGAAAATCATCGCATTACTCGATCTAGAAGATACCACTTCAAACGTTTCCATTTGATAAGAGGCACACGAGTTGTCCATATTTCCACACTCTCAAGGCCTATCTCAGATAACCACACCATAATATCATCGAGATACGATGCCCAAATAACCTATTGGTTTGGATCTTATGAGTTATTATAAATTAGATAAATAATATATAATTTTATTTATATAAATTACCGTACACAGCTCTGCATTAGTCTCAATTTCGTCTTTATACATTTTCCAATTTCCGCGTGACACTTCTTGCACTTTATCCCCGTTCCATCTGGGTATATCAGATAAAATTATTAAAGAAATTACGGGCACATTTAAGAACATTATTAGCTTGCATAAAATATATCTGAATCTCAAAGGCTTGCGCGATAAATCTTTGAGAAAAGAAACACGGAGAATGGCTCTCTCGACATGCAAATGCTCCCATCATCAAACTTGTAATAAGTGTAAACATCCTGCTACTCTAGCACGAGTAGTCTTTATGGCTAGATTTAACTCTCTGTACAGTTGTGCTAAAACAGCGCCTCCTATAGAGTACTACAAAAATGCAGCTAAATCTTCGAGTATTGGTAAATACTGCAAATGTATGTGCAGGCTCGATGTATCGGGAGTATAAAACAACCTAACATATATAAAACGTACGCTCTAACATTACACAAAAAATGGGATAATCCAAATCCTCGTAAGATTCTCTATAAAAGACATCTAAGCCAACGATGAGGTACAATGGAGAGTGGCCCATTTGAAAGTTCGCCGCGACTTCTTCGAACCCAGGATCATTGAAAACCTCATTTATGTTCGCATGTCTTTCTAATAATACATCGCAACAATCCAGCCACGTAAACCAGCCAACTCTGGACTAACAATAATTGGACCAATCAGGGCCTGTCCATCCACCCTAACGCTAAGAATAATTTGAACACCTAGAGTAGGTAGATGGAACAAGTGTTGATAGATGGAATATATTAGTCATCATACATCATCACTCTACCATCGCAGTTATGAAATGATGGTATGTCACGATGAGTTGTAAGAGTCTAATATAATAAGCCCAACGACTTGTAATGTTCAAATGAACTTTGGCACCTAACTCGGAAAAATTATTGCGCCCGAACATCAGACACAAATTTGCGACCGAACGCCAATTAAAAATCACGTGTAAAAGCAGGTTCCACCCTTTAAAAAACAAAAAATGTGTTTTTTCTTACTGTGCGACCCGACCCGAATCCCGCCCATCATTCCATAAAACCGCGGAGAACTCTAATAAAACCGCGGTTTTTAAACATCAATACCACCAAAATATAACGCCAATTATACCGCGGAAAATCTCCAATAACACCGCAAAAAAAAATCCACGGTGTTATTGGATTACTGCGCGGTATTATTAGAATTATTATTATGTTATTGTGGTGTTTTTTTTTACTGAAATTACGACTGTTGTGTTGCATTATTCTTGAGTGAGTTATTAGTTGTAGTTTTAGCAATTTTTTCATGTTTTTCTTAACTCAATACAATGACAATAACACTGGTTAATACAACGACAATATAATAGTTAAAATTATAATATTTTTCATGTGTAGTAAATGATTTCGAGTGGTATAAATAATTTTTTTTCATAATTACATGTGCTATTTTCATTTATTAATAATTTCAACTAAAATTAACGGTTAGTATTCTTTATTAATAAATCTATCAAATCAAATAAGAGATAAATATTAAAAAAATTTAATAGGTTATAAATATAAGGAAATTTTTATTTGTAACCTATTAAAATATTTCTTTATAAAGAAATGAATATTTTATATATTCATTTCCTTATAAGAAAATAAATATAAGGAAATATTTTAATATTTTCATTTCATTTTAAATATAAGGAAATAAATATATGCGTGTCAATGTAATATTATGAGGTTCAATGTAAAATAACAAAAATCCATGCTACAATTTGGCATATGTTGGTAATAAGGGTGTAAGTTAGCCGATCTCGATGAGCTAACAAGTCAAGCTCAAGCTAGCTCTGACTTGACTTGTTAGCTCGTGAATCACATTATTTAAAAAATTATTAATATAAAATATACTCAAAATATATTAAATTTCAAGATCTTATCTTTAAAGTATTAAAAATGTTTAAAAAATAATATTTTGTATTTTATATTAGGTGATTAGTTATTATTTATCTCTTGATTGTTTATTTTATTTGTCATTTTATTATAACGCTAGCTTAAAATAATATTCTTTTTCTTATAAGAATTATAACGCTAGCTTAAAATAATATTCTTTTTCTTTCTTATAAGAAAAAAAAAATTCATGAGCCAGTTCGAACTTGTAGACTTAAGTTCGAGCTCGAACTTAAACTCGATAAAATTAATCAAGCTCTCAACTCGTTTCAATGCCTAGTTGGTAACATGGTCAATCAAATGCATAATGAATCATTTCTAAATATAATCAGAAATTAGTGCAAACTAAGCATATAACTTCAGAAATAAAGCCAAAAACTTTATTCTGCTCATCATCATCAATTCAGCAAGCTTAATTAACATCAACTCAACCAGTCTCAGAATAAATAAAGATATCAAAGAAGATAGAACAACAAAAAGGAAAAAAAAAAAAAAGTTAGAACAGAACAGCCATTAACGCAGACTGACGAACTAAAAGCCAGAATTCATATAAAATCCGCATCAAAACGCAGTAAACAAGACATAGAAAATCATTAAATTAGGCAAAAAAAGAAAAAAAATTCAACAAAATCATTCGATCTCATAACCCTGAAAGTAGATCCGTGTGAGAAACAGAGACAAGAAAGCTTACCGATGTGTGAGGCGGAAGCGGCCCATTTGGTAGGGAGTAAAGAGAGACGGGCTGTGATTCTCAAACCCTTCCATGTGATTAAACCTGCAAATCAATCTATAGAAGAGAAGATGAGATCGAAGATTAGCAGCAGCTAAAAGATCGATGGATGTAGAAATAGAAGAGGAAAGCGATTATAAACTGCGGGAGTGCTGGGGCCAGCGGCCTCCGAATCTGGTCACCGCTGCTTATTTATACCAACGCACGACGTTGAAGAAACTGACCAGAGGTGCTGACCAGTACAGTAAATTGAATCGTCCTCATGTTAACAGGGCGGTGACAAGAATGATAAGTGCACAATTTTCCGAGAATAGTGGGGCCCAGTTCAGGGAGAAATCTATTCATAATTCTCTACTATGATTCGTTCGTCAGAAGATTAATTTAAGAGAAAAATAACATTTTTTTAAGTGATTCAAAATATAGAAACATGGAACGAGGATGAAGAACGGTTACAAAAAATGAGCCCGCGCATCCATTGTAGCCATTGGATTGCTTTAAAACTTGTGCAATTGATCTTTGATCCTATCTCTGCGGTACACATGGTGAAACTCATTCACCTTTTAAACGAACCTTTTTATTTTTTCGCTTGGCTCAGTATGGACGCGTTGACTGGTTGGTTGTCCAGCGTTTCGCTCTACCACGCGCTACACGGTCTGGCTGTTGTCCTCCGCACGTTTTAATCGTTTAGAATCAGGATTGAATGCAGTTTCTTCGCGTTTCACTTAGGTTTTATTTACTTATTTATTAGAAAAATAAGAGTAACACACCATTCTATTTAATAAAAAAAAAAAACAGAAATGAAGAAAATCCCCTCGTGGGGGTTTTTGAGAGATGGCTCCGGCGACTTTTGATTTTTTCTAGGGCTTGACCAAAGTTATTTCTTCCTCTATCTGATCTCTTCTTGGCCCTTTTCCAACTCGTAACTGGAAATGTTTGATATCTTCTCATTTTTCAAGTTCATCTAGTTTTAATCCTTCTTATTTGCATGGTGCAGCGGATAAAAATTCGTTCTCTAGGGAAGAGTTTGAAGAAGGTTTGAAACGATAGAACATGGTTCTTATCGGTCATCTGTTGGGACGTTCCTTGTACGGCAACCTTTTTATAAGTTATTGGCAAGATTTGGAAATTGAAAGATTTAGTTTAGCTTCTTTCTCTTAATGAGGGTTTTTTCTACCTAAATTTTATTGTATAGAAAATATGCAATTAGTTATGTCTCGAGCTATTTGGTTTATTAATGAGAAATGTAGTACACATGATTTCCGACGGGTTAGTATGAACTATAAAAATATTCATATTTGGGTTAAATTTTCTAATCGTCATTTTTTATTGTTGGTTGGGGAGTGACGTCTCCAAAATTGCTAGTAAAATTGAAGTTCCTCTTGTTGTTGGTCCTTTTAACTACTAAAAGCTTTCGCAAATTTTTGCTGGAGTCGGTATTCAAATTAATATTGATTCCTCTAATGTTGAACTTATTACTTTAAACGTGAAAGAACAATATATCATTCGACCCGTGGCTTATTAATGGGAGCCTAACCCTTGTAAACCTTGTTTTATTTTTGCTCACGATTCTTTAAATTGTCCTAAATCGTATTCACAAAAACATGTGCTTATGTTTCTACTTTTAGAGGTAGGAGTCGAAACAAAAATTATATCATAATCTAAGACCTCATAAAATTATTAGAAATTGTTATCCATGTCTCGTATGTTCTACATGTTAGACCTACTTATAATAATATTTTTGACATTGTTTCTGACAATATACTACATCCGATCTCTGTTGATATTCTACATGTTAGACCTACTTATAATAATATTTTTGGCATTGTTTCTGACAATATACTACATTCGATCTCTGTTATACTTATTTCTGATATGCTTCTTTAATACCAACCCCAAATCTTAATATTTCTAATGATTTTGGTAATAATAATATATAAACTAAAGCTGGGAAAGTTTGTGATATTGATGAAGTGGTTTCTACTTTGTCGATTGATAATATTTACTTGAATTATTCTATTGTGGATAATTCTATCCTACAAATTCTATGCATATTACTTTTGCTTATATAGATAAACCTAATTCAAAAAAATATTCAACCAATTTATCTGAAATCTTCAAATGATATTTCTAATTCTAGCATCCTCATAATTTATCTCAATCTCCTTCACAAGATAAAAAGGGAAGGCCAAAAGAAAGTAATTCCTAGGTTTTTGTTTTTTATTTTTTTGCTTATGTTTTTTTTATTTTTTTAGTTCTTGTTATGTCTTTTCCTAATTATATAAACTGGAATGTTCGGGGGCTTAAAAGTGATGTATGTATTGTTAATTGTAGTAATTATTAAAGAGAATAATACTAATTTTATAAGTCTTTTAGAAACCAAACTTTCAGTTGATTTTATTTTAGATCATTGTCATTTAAATACTTTTAATGTTTTCTTATAAGAGCAACATTAATAATTTTAATAATGCAAATAATGTTGGAATCTTAATAAAGAAAAATTTTAATGATTTATATTTTTCTACTTTGGATATTGATCCCAGTACATTAATGGTTTTGTTTCTTATATTTATTATATTTATTTCTTTATTATTGTGAATTATGTTGATAATAATGCTATTATTATGAAGTATTCACGGGAGTTTATCAATTTTATAAGTGGAGATATTTTGAGTTGTGGTTATTGATTGGTGATCCTAATTGTATCTATGCTTGTGAGGAAAAAAATAGGAGGGATTCCTTTTATCCTGACCACTAACTACTTTTAATATTTTATTCTTTCAATTGGCCTTATTGAACTTCAAGATATTAGGTTTTCTTTTAGCTGACATAACAATCAACCGAATAATCCTGCTAAGACTACCAAAACACAAAAAAAAAACAAAACAAAAAAATAAAACAAAAAAAAACAAAACACCTAGAAAATGAAACAAGACTAGCAAAATATAGACAAAGCATGATAAGCTAAAAATCAATTTACTAACTAAATAACAGCAACACTTACCACAAAAGTAAATTGCCAATAACCAAATCCATCCAGCAGGGCAGCCTCAATCCAAAGAATCGTCTCAAACAACCATAGCATTCTCAAAAAAAGATTGCTAATAGCCAAATCAATCCATCAGGACAATCTCAATCCAAGGAAGCATGACTAAAATCATTAGAAGGATTTAAAAATAGACAATCCCAAAGATCAGCTCCGACAGAGAGATTGCTTCAATAAATAGCAGCAGCTACCAAAACACAAACAAATTTCAGCTTCAAGTTTAAGCCTCAGCCAATGATATAAAGTCCAACAAAAGACCAAGATAGAATCATTACCTTACGCAAGAATCAACTAAGAATGAGAAATGAGATAGAAAAAAATTACTAGCCCAAATATTCACCAACACAAAAACATTAAAATTTACTCCAAGCACTATGTGTAATTTAAACAAAGATCCAAAATATTCAAAACTACGGTTGGATTTTAATATACTACTGGAATTCATCATTGCTCAGCCAAAAAATACCAATACTCAATGAAATAAAATCAAGTGAAGATTTGTTCTTATATACTAAGATCAAGAAAAATATCTGCAATTGTATAGTATAAGTAAAGAAACATCCATAAAATTCACATAGCACAATACCATAACTTAAAAGCAATCAAGAATACTATATGCTCTAAATAGAAACAGAAGGATGAACAAAAATAAGATGAAATATCTATAACAATCGAGTAAAATTCTCAAGAACAGAATGAAAACTCCATCCTGTTACAGATAAAGTGACAGTGAAATGAATAAATATACAAATATATAAAAGTTTAAATCACAAGATTTCAAATTGTCATAGATCTCAAAATAAATTACTCATAAAAGAAAAGAGAGATAAAGAGAAGAAAGAGAAGAAGTATAGCAGCCACCATTAGATATTATTAAAATTCCTTAAAAAGAGAGGAATATTATTTTTAAATTTTCACTTTCTGCTTTTCTCTTTAATCAATCAATGAATATTCTGTAACTCAACAGGGGTGAAATTATTCGTAAAAATAAAGTTACTTGTCAAACCAAATGTAATAAATAATAATCTGAATGATCAAAAGATGATGCCTCTTACTGATTTCATCAAAAACATTCTCAGAATGATAAAGTATTTGAAAATATTACTAGGAATGAATAAATATTAGGAATGCATTTATTAAGAAGATAATGAGAAAATGGGCATACAAAAAATGAGCGCGTTTCATTCTTAGAAAAGCATAAAATATAGGTAGAATTGACAATAATACCTCAAGTATTGAGAATATCACATGTTTTAAAGTCATTATGAACAATGATCCAAATATGAACAGCAAATTTAATAGAATAACCCATGAGCCAAACCAACTTTTACCAATCGACTCAAGGTAGATTCTCATATAAGAAATAAACAGAATTATGAGAATAATTATCCTTATTACTACAATGGCAACTAATGTCATTTATAATAGTAACATTTTAAATAGCTTGAATAAAATAAGGAGCAGATATATTCCAAGATAAATCTCAAACACCATTAGAGATAAGTTCATAAAGCTTGGTATTTTTAGGTAAATTAAACCATATAAAAATAGAATCACCAAAGTAATAAAATAAAGATCCACATAGCCATTAAAAAAAAACAAATTACTAATAATATTAACCTGAAAGGTGAGAGAATGCTTAATTCTTACAGACACTAACAATGTCTTTCTAAAAAAACAGTAAAATGACAAACTTTATACTAAATAAAATCATAATGATTAATACATAAATTAGTTAAATAAGAATTCGAATTATAGATATTCCAAATAATCTTAAACTTACACATGGTATTAATAACATCAAGAGAAGGTAAACCGATACCACCAATGTCCTTAGTAAGTGTATTTTTATTCCAATCAATGATATGCAACTTTTTATTATTATCATTATGACTAATAAAATTATTAATCATAGAAAAAATTTTCCTTCTAAACATTTTATAAAGTAGAAAAATGAAACCAATAATAAAAATGACTCTAAATAGTAAATTTTATTAAATGAAGGTCACAGATCGAAGAAAAAAACTTTTGCTTCCAACCAAAAAGTCGAAGATGATGTTTGCCGATAATCTTTTTACCATTAGTAGAAGCCAACTTAGAATATTTAATAGTAAACTCAAGATAATCCAAAAATAAATATTTAATTTTAAAGATTCTAATATTACAAAGCTTTTGTTGTTGAGCTAAATAGTTCGCAAAATTATAAAAACATATGACATATTTAGAGGTATGCTTAAAAATTAGAAGCGTTACTAATAATATAAAGCTTAGAAATAAAATAATTACAAAATTATTATTAGTCTTACCAAAAATAAGAAGATCATCCACATAAATTAAATTATATCTCATTATTATTATAACAATTATTATTACTATTTTTACGATCATAATAACCAAGTAAAGAAGGAGCATCCATGACAACAACAAAGAGACAGGAGAGAGAGGACAACCTTGCCACGAGCCAAAAAGTGAAGAAAAATAATATTTTATTTCAATATTTATAATAACATAAAAGTTAACATCAACACTACAAGTTTTAATCTCATTAATGCAAATAAGAGGAAAACCTAAAGGAGACATACGATCATAAAGAAATGTTTTATTAACTTTATCAGATGCATTCATTAAATCGATTTTAACACAAAATTTCTTAGCATAATTATTAAAATTAAAAAGTATAACGCTGTTCGTTAGCAAAGAAAATATTATCCGCAATATCACGAATTTTTATAAAAAACGGCTTGGGCGAAATGAATAATTATAGAAAGAATAGATTTCATTATATCCGCCAATAAAACAACAATAACTTAATATATAGTATTGGAAAGAGAAATATGCCTAAAATCACTACGAGATTTAGCATTATATTTTTAGTAACGATGGCAATAAAAATATGTTTAATCTTAAATGAATTTTAGTAGTATTAAAGAAATATTTAATAGCATCAACACAATCCAAATATGTGAAATATCAAGTATCTTTAAAAAATTTAGAAGTAAAATCATCACACCAATAAATTTTATTTGAACCAATAGAAAGAAAAATATGTTTAATATCATTATCCGAAAAAAGAATGAGAGCCATACAATCATCTGTATTAAATAAATTCTTGATAGAGAATAAAAAGCGATTAAGTAAATTAGAGAAATAAGAAATAACTTCACTAAAAATTCCATCTTAATTAGCAATATAACCATTATTAACAAAAAAAAAATATTAAGATGATTAGAATTATGCTTACATTTGACTTTCTGATAAAAAAAAAACTTAATATAATATCATCTTTAGAAAGCCAAAAGTATTTAGTTCTTTGTTTAACCACTCACTTATAATCACAAATAATAGCTTTCGTAAAATCACCTTATAGAATAGAAGCTTGAACAAAAAAAACTTTACAAAGAGAATTCTCAAGTTGACTCATCACAACATGTTCCTTATCTTTAATATCAACAATATGGTTAAAAGCAATATGAGAAGATTTTCAATTCTAGCCCTTTATAATTTTCTTAAATTTCATTATTCTATTCAATAAAACAAATAAAGAATCACAGTTAACAGAAAAACGCCAAGTATTATATATGATAGAATAAAAATTAGGGCAAAGACTCAAAAA